GTAGACAGTCGGTATTGGCTCGTAAGGATGTTTTGACTGACCCACACTAGTGAGTATCTTTTTGTCCTGCTATATGATTTAATATCATCGAAACGTTAGTAAGTTTTTATGTTTTATTCACCCCATAAACTATACCAGTCTCCACTACATTAAGATGAAGCACTGCACCTGTTCTTTTCAACTTTTGAACAAAAGAATGCGAAAAAGGACGTCTTACAACAATATTTCGACTTTAATTCAAGGCAACAACTATTATCCTTCAGTATCTCTTGTTGTTATATTAATGAAATAAAATAAGGCTTAGGAGAAGTAACTGATCTGTTTGTGTTAGAATACAAATGCATTTATATTTTTTGCTCAATAAATAGAATTGATATTTTCACTGATTTATATCATTGTGACAACAATCAGTCACATTTAATCCAGTCTTGTAGGCGGGTTTATCATSCTCACGCTATGTCATTTGWTTGTTTCTGTTTTCAGCTGATCATCGCTGGAGCGCTAGGAATTGCAGCATGGCCTAAGCAAAATCGTGGATTGGTAACTGACTAACACACTAATTTATACAAAACTACTGATTGMYTGCAWTMAACAGTTGAGTCAGTATGATATTTCCTAGAATTGACTTTTAAATCCTTATTTTCAGATGGTCGGTTTCCTTGTGATGTGCATCATTGCATGCATACTTGCTTCAATCCAGGCCATTGTATCTGGAATTGCTTATGCTCTTTGGTTCGCATTTACCAGTGATGCCAAATGCCGTGCCAGTGGAAGTGGCTGTGTTGGTGGTCTTCTTGCTTTTATCATTTTAAGTGTATTAGGTGCATTGTTTACTTTGGCTGGTTCAATCATTGGTTGTGTGGTCTCATGTGGCTCTACCCAGGTAAAGTGAGCTGCGCATGCTCAGAGTATTAAATGTAGGTATTGTACTAAATTGCGAGCAAAATCCATGAACTCTGAATGCATATATTTGTATATATATATCTAGGTGGTAGGTAGATTGTAGGTCAAAGTGTCAGTTTTTTTTTTGCTATCGGACATTCTTTGCATAAACGTTGTTGAAATAAAATATTTGTTCTTTAGCACAAGCGTAATATATTGAAAAGAGAATAAAAAGCGCTCAGCCTAAGTGATCATCTTTTGCTGCTTTTCATGGCCGGCAAGG